CAGCGCCCCAAATGACATAAGCTGGGTCCTTCACGTCTGACTTCACAGCATCTCCCTCAAGGTATCCGATCTGGCCTCTTCTGTTGATTTACGTGCAGACAAATTTGACCATGTAGAGGAAGTTTTGCCATTTAGTCCCATTGTGGACCTGAAAACAATGAGATTTAGATGGCTTTAGGGTGATTTGAGGAGGATCTGAGATGATGGTGGCTAAAAGGTGTCACACGTGATTTCAGACATTTCTAGGACCAAGAGGCAATTCAAACCCTATAACTTTTTCTGCTCGGATACCATAAAGGTAGAGAGAAAATATAGAATTGGTTAAACGAATATTACACAAAAGTTAAGAGATTTATAGATCCCTTATAGGGTACAAAAGAGGAAATAAATATTCCAAATTAAGAAGAAAATAACTACTGATTCCTAAAACCTCTATCATAGAATACACTCCATTATTACAGAATACACTACACAATTACATGGATCTTGGAAATCTTCTAATGAACATTAATGAGGAGTAAACAGAAGTAAAGGGATCTCATATCCCAACTCACTATGTTACAGTCTTGGCTACTTTTATGCTTTAACAGAGCCTCTCTTATATGGATATCAGATGTATATTGAGTAGAAATTGATCCTAAACAACACAGGGAACTAAATCAAGATAAAATATATGTATAGATTAAATATGAGATATACCAGAAAACAAATCCTCAAGAGGAGATCAAATAAAAATTTCCAGTTGGAATTAATAAAATCCATAAGTTGTGCTTAAATTTCTATTTAAAAAAAAAATAAGTTGTGCCTAAATTTCTGAAAACTACTAACATTTCCTAACTAATGCTAGTTACAAAAAGAAATATTTAAATTGCATAAGGTATACAGAGATATTTCTTAATACTAAAATTCTTGAAATGTAGCTTCTTCTTCTCGATACATTTCAGACTTCCTTTTGAATGACTAATAATAACGTTTTTCAAGCTTTTTACACAAGATAAAGGTTCTTCTATATGGCTATTTTTTTCCTTGTTTTTCCAATTACTTCCTATTTGAAGACAAAATCTCAGGTTCAGTTTATTTATTTGTTTTATTCAAATTTTTGGAAGTAGTGTGTAGCAAACAACAGTCTGAGCGTAGTTAATTGAATGCTGAATCAACAGATAGCTTGCTGCAGTGATTAAAATATTTCAGCTTTTAAGCTTAGTTGATTATTTCAGGATTATGTTTCAATCCTCAAGCTTATCACTTCCTTTGCTAGTAATCTTAGTTTATCTGTTCAGGATGGAGCTGTGTCAATACTCAAGTTTGATAATGATAAGGGAAGACATGGTGGTCTTTCTAGACCAGCATCAGTACAACGTGCATTATCTGTTCTTGAGATGGAGGTTGAGCAAATTAATAAGGGAAAGTATGAACATTACATGCAAAAAGAAATTCATGAACAGCCGGAATCTTTGAAAACCACTATGAGGGGGAGGCTTATACGTGGCGGTTCCAGCAAAGCAAAGACTGTCCTTTTGGGTGGACTGAAAGATCACCTAAAAACAATAAGGCGGAGCCGACGGATTGTTTTCATTGGTTGTGGTACAAGTTACAATGCTGCACTAGCTGCACGACCCATCTTGGAAGAGCTATCTGGTAATTACTGCTTTTCTAGTGGCAAATACGTTTTGAATGGTTTAACATTTTCTTTATTAACGTAGTTTGCCTTTTTATTAGGTGTTCCTGTTACTATGGAAATTGCTAGTGATCTGTTGGATCGGCAAGGTCCTATATACAGAGAAGATACTGCAGTTTTTGTTAGTCAATCAGGTGAAACTGCAGATACATTACGTGCTCTGGAATATGCTCTGGAAAATGGTGCATTATGTGTTGGCATAACAAACACGGTTGGCAGTGAAATAGCTAGGAACACACATTGTGGTGTACATATAAATGCTGGAGCAGAAATAGGTGTAGCAAGCACCAAGGTAGGAAATTGTGCCCATAAAATCTTCCTTTTTCTTTTAAATTTTGTTTTGTTGTTTCATAATGTCGATCTTGTTATTTACCAGGCCTATACAAGTCAAATAGTAGTGATGGCTATGTTAGCTCTAGCTATTGGGGGTGATACAATTTCTAATCAGAAAAGAAGGGAGGCCATAATAGATGGCCTATTTGATTTGCCCAGTAAGTTCCAGTCCTCTTACATATATATGTATGTGCTTTATGTTTATTCCATGCAAGGACTAGGAATCCATCTAATTTTCTAATTTTCATTTCTTATACAAATATGATACCATAAAATATATGTGGTATCTAAAAACAAAAAAAAAAAAACAGAATTATAAAAATAAAAAAAAATGGAATGGGCCTGAAAATAATAATGTTATCTTAGAATGTTTTTCTAGAAAATTTATGATGGAGTTCTGCTTGCATATATATGAGAGTGTGGGCATTCTACTCAGGTGGGACCTACACCTGCAAATTTTTCTTTCAGTGCCTTAGTCATCACCCCTCTATTTAATTTGTTCTTTACAAGCACTTAGGTGGATTGAAGTTCCTGTTATCTCTTTGTGTATATTGCAGTAGTATTAAGATGCAGACAATGCTTTGGAAAGTTTGTTTTTGCTGGTTTTTAGGGTACTACAGCTCGAAAGTATTGCCAAGGTCTTCAAATATCATTTTTTTAATATCTCCTGATACCGTGACGTTGTTGTTGCTGTTTTTTTTTCGTTTTTTTGCTTTTTGTTTTTCTTTTGGGCTTTAGTTTGGTTTAAGATTCAGGTTTTTAGGTCCCTTTAGCTATTTGGCGAAAGGGTCAGTAGTTATCTTGTGTTATATTTAGGTTACTTTTGGGTTTTCTATTTCCTATGCTGCAAACGGGATATATGTCCTCCTATTATGAACTTCTGTTTCTGTTTCTTTTACTAGTATTTCCTTTTACAAAAGACTGCATATCCATATGCATAAATAAATAGAGATACATATCACGCAGTACATTTACATGCATATATAGCTGTTATATATATAACTATACATACATATAGATATATGAGTGTGTGCATATACTTGTGCAGACATGCGTATTGGCACTCAATACCCACATATGGATGTAAAAATTGAAAATTGAAAATCATCTTTATGTGGCAAATATAGCCAAGTTTTTTAGTGCTAATATTGATTTTTTGAAGTACTTCACGTCCATATCTTTTTATTTTTTTGCAGATAAAGTCAGAGAAGTACTAAAGCTTGATGAGGAGATGAAGGATCTTGCAAAATTATTGATTGCTGAGCAGTCACTTCTTGTGTTTGGAAGAGGATACAATTATGCAACTGCTCTAGAGGGAGCTCTAAAAGTAAAGGAAGTTGCACTTATGCATAGTGAAGGAATACTAGCTGGTGAAATGAAACATGGTCCTTTGGCACTAGTTGATGAAAATCTCCCTATTGTTGTGATTGCTACTCGTGATGCATGCTTTAGGTTGGTGCTGCTGTAAAACCTGTTATTAAAACACCTTCGCACTGTACTTCTGTTTTTCCATAACTTTGTACTGACTTATTGTTGCTACAGCAAACAGCAGTCAGTTATTCAGCAGCTTCATGCTCGCAAGGGTCGTCTAATAGTAATGTGTTCCAAGGGGGATACTGCATCTGCATGCCCTGGTGGATCTGGTCGAGTGATTGAAGTTCCTCAGGTCGAGGATTGCCTTCAACCTGTAGTCAATATAGTTCCATTGCAGGTATTTTTAAAGGAACGTTCACTGAATTTATTTAGATACTGGTGTAGTCTTGTACACTGTATAACAATGATATATTTTGGATGCTTGTCTTACTTTTCTCACCTCTCTTGTTTTTCTTTTTCCTATCAAAATTTTTTAACACAATCTATAGAGGGAATAGTTAAATAAACCAGATGATTACTTTAGATATTGGTGCAGTAACTTTTCTTAGCACATGGGACATGCACACCACTTAACTCTAGGTGCATCAATTGTTACACAGTTATGACATTTAGGATTGGTTAAATTATATAGGGTTATTTTTTATTTGGTATGACTATGACTAAGTCCATTAACTTTTGAAAGTAACAATCTAATACTTCCATCAGTTTATCATAGACGTACATTAGGTTACTTTTTGTTTGTAATTGACTTTCCTTTTGTTTGATGGCAGTTGCTGGCATACCATCTCACTGTTCTAAGGGGTTATAATGTTGACCAGCCGCGGAATCTTGCAAAGAGTGTGACAACCCAGTAGATGAAAGGTTGATTGCCAAAACTCGAACTCTAATAGTGGCATAGAAAACTCAAGTGCAGAATCATTGGGATTGTTTCATCCCTTTGGTTTTCACCTGGTATTCTTACATATGAGATATTGTAGAATTCATCCTCTGTAAATTATTAAAAGTAGTTAAAATACTTATTTTAACTGATCTCTCTCTTCACACACACACACAGAATGTCTTTCTCTCTCCCCCTCGCTCATGCTGTTACTTTGGCAGGATTTTGGGTTGATTGAGTATTGAATCAAATACAAATGAATAGAAATGGGAAGTCCAAATAGAAATGGGAATCAAATACTAAGCGCTTCTCTTTCTTATAAAAATGAATAAGAGAAAACGGAAGATGTTATGAGAAAAAATTTAGTCCTAAGAACGGAGTTGTAGTTAGTTATGAGGGTGAGGGTAAGAGGAGAGTGCTTTGTGTTGTAGCGGAAAGTTTGTTGAAAGGATCAGACGTAGAGTCATTAGGTTATTCAAAACAAAGGCTAAAATTTCAAATAATAACATTGAATTATATTAAGTTATATATAAAACTGTTACAAATAAGTTCTTTTATAAAGTTTGTAATAAGAGCACAACTAGAAATATAGAATTATAAGAAGATAAGAATAAGAAATGGAAAATATTAAAAAAATTAAAAAACTAAAATAAATCTTAAACTTGAACTAGACCAAAAATAATGAAATAATAACACTTAAAATTGAACTAGGGATAACACTTAGAATTGAACTAGAAAAAGTGTGTTGCGTCAATCCCCTCCTTTTAAAGAAAATTTATTCCCAAGTTTTATGGTTTGCAAAGAAAACTCATCAAGAGGATAGTAGTCGAAAATATCAGCATCATTAGAAGTATTGGAGATATTCATATTGGCAGAAAGATCAATCTTATAAGTATTATCCCTAGTTTTCTGAAGAATCCAAAAGGGACTAGTCTTTTTATACTTAAGCTTGTTGTAAGAACTTATTGGAAATGATGTTTGCGATGATAAACCATCACCAACTCACCTTACTTTGAACACCTTTGATGCTTGTGTCGATCTGCAATAGTCTTATAATATAACTTCACATCTTTCGAATTTTGTTTGACTTCCTGGTGAACCTGTTGTACATGGCTTAGCAAATTCCTCTACATTAGGATTGGTATCAGTAAAAAGAGGAGGTCAAATGAAATCAACTGTATGTTTTAGAGCATTAGTGTAGAAAACTTCAAAAGGAGGCTTGTTGATAGAATGGTTGGGCATGCTGTTGAAGGCAGACTCAATATGTGGAAGGACAGTATCTCATTTCTTTGGCTTGTCACCGCAAAACTATCGGCCAATGTTGTGATTAGCTAATTCAATTTGCCCATCAGTCTACGGATAACTAGTATTACTATACTTCAAAGAAGTATCAAATAATCTCCACAAAATCCTCTAAAAATAACTTAAAAATTCCACATCTCGGTCAAAAGTAATGGGACGGGGAACACCATCCGAACAACAATTTTTCCAAAGAACAAGTAAACTCCATAAGAAACATCTGCAGTTTTCTTACAAGGACGCAAACTATTTTAGAGAAACGATCAACTATAACAAATACCAAACCAATACCTTGTTGAATCCATGGCAAGTCAAGAACAAAGATCATAGTCAAATCTTGCCATATTGTCTCAGAAATAGGTAGAGGTGTATAAAGAGTGGTATTTTGAGCTTGTCATTTGTGATTTTGACAGATAGGGCATCATTGAACATAACTTCCTATATCCCTTTCAAGTTGAGGCCAGTAGAATCTTTCTTCCACCAAGCTAATTGTTTTATCTCTACCTGCATGCCTAGCATGCAATTCCTTATGGACTAAATATTCATGTAAATAAGAGCGAGGAATACATAATTGCATAGCTTTGAACAAAAATTTCACCCTGAATCATGAAATTAACAATAAACTCATTATTATTGCCTCGTGCCTAGATATTACCAAAGTCCTCACCATCAACATAAATATCCTTCAAGTAATCGAATCCCATGATCTTAGTACTAATTGTAGCTAATAAAGAGGCTCGTCGACTTAATGCCCCAACTACTTCATTCTATTGACCAAACTTATGCTTAATAACAAAAGTAAATTTCTGTAAGGAAGTAATCCAACGAGTACATATCCTAGTTGGACCAAACAATGCTCCCAATACTTTAGAGCTCGAACTACTAGATAAAACTCAAGTTCATAGGTTGTCCACTTTTGACGGGGTTTACTAACCTTTTTGCTAAAGTATTCCACTAGGTGACCTTCTTGAGGCAAAGCAGCTCCAATTCTGGATGTTGATGCATTACCATCAACTTGAAATACCTTCAGAAAACTTGGATTTGTGAATAAAGGTGCATTATACAACTTTACTTTAATCAAATCAAAACTGTCTTCTTGAGCCTTTCCCCTTTGAAACTAGTCCTTTTTTTCAAACAATTGGTGACAAGTGCCATAATAGTGCTAAAACCTCTAATAAACTGCCTTTAAAAGGTAGCTAAGTTATGGAAACTTTGCACCTCTCACTATTGTTTTAGGGGTTGGTCATTCCTAAATTATCTTTACCTTGGCCTCATATACCTGTTTATCATTTTTTTTCCCACAATAACATGATAAATAAGAGATGATAAGTCATAGAGCTATACTTCTTAAGATTGATATATAGTTTATTAGCCAGTAAAACAATAAAGACTTCCCTGAGATGTTCCAAATGCTTATTTGCATCTTTTTATTAGATAAAGATATTATCGAAATAAATCACCACAAATTTGCCAATAAATAGGTCGAGAACTTGATTCATGTTGCATTAACATATTTGGTGCGTTAGATTACCCGAATAATATTACTAGTCACTCATAGAGGCCATCTTTGGTATTGAAAGCTATCTTCCACTCATTACCAGGAAGGACTGATACGGATTTGGTGATATCCACTTCTTAATTCAAGTTTCGTGGACACTATAACACCTTATAACCTGTCAAGCATATCATCAAGGTGTGGAATAAAGAAGCGATACTTGATTGTTATTTTGTTGATGGCACGACTATCTACACATTCGTCAACTACAATCTTTTTTAGGAGTTAGTAACGTATGAATTGCCCAGGAACAGATATTCTCACGAATCAATCCTTTATCTAACAACTCATTAACTTCTCTATAATTCTTCATGCTTAGAAGGACATGTAAGGCAGTGTGGCAGATGAGATAAACCTGCTCCAGGCATCAAATTGATGCGGTGCTGAATATTTCTCATACGAGACATTCATTAAGTAACTTGGTGGACATAAAAGCAAAATCAGAAATTAGTTCCCGAACTCTAATGGGAATTTCTTCAGTTGATGTCTAGTTGACTTTTAACAACTAAGGGTACCATAAAATTTGACTCTTTGATCTGCTCATAGAATCCCAAACCCATATAGTAGTGAAAAATAGACTATCTTATTTTCTAACAGGATTACCATCCTTGGTTGGAAACTATAGTGCTAAAACAAACTTCTTATCATGCTACCAAAAGATAAAAGTGTTATCTTAGCCATTATAAGTAATGTCAACAGCATATTGTTATGGTTTTCCTAGGAGAACATGACTAACGTCCATATCTACCACGTCACAAACAATTTCATCATTATAGTACTTCTCGATCGAGAAAGAGACTTTGCAAATTTCCTCTATTTGAATTTCTAATCCTTTCATAATCCATATTATCTTGTATAGAGAAAGATGTTTCTCATTTGTCAAGTTTAAAGCTTTCACCAAAGCTTTTGAAACCACATTCTCTCTACTGCCACTAGCAATAATCACATTACATACTTTATTTCAAATAGTACACCTAGTTAAAAATATTTTGTGTTGTTGAGAATCATCTGGCTTCTTCAGAACAAGTAATATCTATTGAACAATGGATACCACATCTTATCTGACATCTCTCTTTTAATTTCAACACCCTCATAAATATATTCTTCAAACATTTATTCTTCTATACGACCTTCTTTAGCAGAGTTAATGGTTCACCTATTTAGGCAATTGATCGAAAGATGACCTGTTTGGTTGTAATTGAAACATTTCTCGAGATTAAGACTGTACATAAGGATCATTATTGGTTCATTGTTGCAGTTGATTTATACCTTGAGTACTAGGACGCATGTGGCCAAAGTTCCGCCTCATGTTTGTGTTGAATTCTGGCATGAAGAAACATCTTTCACAGTGTAATCACTACTACCAGAAACAATTGAACCCTTTGGACCGAAAGATTCTTCTTGACTTGATCGTCTAAAACTGTGTTGTAAGGTCATCCCAAAGACCTATTAATTTGATTTTCCACCTGCATGTCAAATTAACTGCATCTGGCAAGATTCAAACACTTTTAAGAGCAAACAATCTTGACTCGCAAGCTTTAAGCCTCTAATATAGTTAGCAATTAATTGATTCTCTGTTTCTAATAAACTAACACAGGTACTTAAATGAGAAAATTTTTTCGTGCATTCATTCACAATACAAGTAGCTTGCCTATAATTTTAATATTATTGACACAAAAATTGCTTATAATATGAAGATAAAATTGCATCTGCAATAACTACTTCATCTCCGAACACATTTTTTCCCCTGTGGTGTTGACGATTAGATTGAAGTTGTTTACACCAAGCAGAGGAGCCACCTTTCAATTTGTATGCCATAAGCTTTACTTGATTTTTCTATGCAATATTCAAATAATCAAATAAATTTTCAACAATATAATTCAATCGAAAAAAAATGATTTGTTTCCCTAGGGTTTCACACGAACCTGTTAGCCCCACACAAGAATGACTGGCCATTTTTTGTCTCGATGTCAGTGGAGTCGAAGCTGTCAGAGTCATGTTATTCATTGCACAAATTTGGTCGCTGTTGTTCAGGTTCGCATCTTCCTTGGGTAGATAACGCAGCTAACATCTGAGTTACCTGCTGAAGAGTTTTGTTGATTCTATTGAGTCTTTACTCGATACGTTCGAACCTTTATTCATTGTCGGTGGCTTGTTGTCCACTAGAGCTATCTTTAGTCATTAGATTGAGGTGAAAATCTTTATTCTAAAACCAATTTTGGTGCAGTGGAAGTTTTATTTGAAAAGATCAAATGTATAGTACTTAGGAATTAGAAATCATAAAAAACTAAGAATCTAAACTAGAAATAGAAAATGCCAAAGAAATTAGAAACTAAAATAAATCTTAAACTTGAACTAGAAAAGGCTAAAATAATAAAATAATAATACTTACAGTAGATCTAGAATAAAATTTAGAATGTGTTCATATATTATATCAATCTAATAGTGGAAGGTGTGGAGAAGGAAAAATGAAGGCTTACAAGGATTTGTTGTTAGTGTAAATCAAATCTTAAATATAAGATAGAACAACAATTTATCTTTACTCAGAGATATTGTTATATTTGAAGCAATTTGAGAGTTGGGAGGGTTAATATTCAGACGAGATTGGATTATCTTATTGCTATGATCGAGTAGAAGAACTTACTTTTTGAAACATTGGTTCGTCATTTACTACAGCATATCATGAGCCATTAGAAGTTTTTCTATATATGCAATTCCGTGACAGTTAAATGGTTGGAAAGTTGCTCAAGCTTTAGGCAAATGGTCGGATGAGAATTATGAGAGAGTTATAACAAATAGATGGTCAGACCAAATGACGACACTTTGAGATAAGGTCGAAAAGTTCATTACCTCTCTTAAAGAATGGGAGCTAGCTGAATAGGGGCATATAGTGTCTCAAATTTCATATGTTAAAGTTGAGTTAATGAAGTTGCAGAGGAAAGAGCCAAGTGACAATAATGTAGCTATAATTAAAAAAAAAAAGGAAAAAAGAAAAAATGGGAGTTGAATTCATTGTTAAAGAAAGGGGAATTGATGTGACATTACTGACCAACGGTTTATTGGTTAAATTTGGAAATAAAATGCAATATTTTTCCATACTAAAGCAAATGCCAAGAGAAAAGAGAAAGAAAGAGGAATATTTCTGGCAAAATTAAAGATCAACATGGTGATTAGTTAGATGAAGGACTCAGATAAAGAATACTTTCTTAGAATATTTTGAAGGGATGTTTGCATATATGAGGATGGTTGACTTGCATGCAACTTGTGCTTGATTATGTGGAGACCTGGGTAGCTCTTGATATGAATACTTGCCTCCATGAACCTTGTTTTCTCGAGGATGTTTATACTGACTTGAAGCAAATTCCCTCATCAAAAGCTTCAGGTAAAAAAAATTGCATGCTTCCTCTTTTTTTTAATAAAAAATTTTGGTCAACTACCAAAAATGATATAGTTTCTTTTGTGCTATAATGTTTAGATACTTTGGGCCACATGAAATTTATTAATCATATATTTTTCACTTCAATTATAAAAGTTATAGAACTAAATTTTCATTCCAATTAAAGACCTATTAGCCTTTATCATGCCATCATAAGGATTATTAAAAATTGCATTGCTTAATAAGTTGAAATTAGTTCTTCTTGATGTTATACATTCTTCCCATTAAGCTCTTATATTAACCAAATTGACCATTGGCAATGCCCTTATTACATAATAACTATTTTATTACTTAGATTATAATAAAAGTCTCTATAACGTATCATTTACTTTCAAACTAAATATTAGTAAGACCTATTAAGGAATACTCCCACATCAAATAATGGTGAAATTGCATATTTATGAAATTTTTACTTAATTAATTTTGAAATATATTACAACCATTTCATACTTGGTGTTTATTAATGGAAAACCTTCACAAGTTTTCCATCAAGGGAGGAGTATTCTCTAAGGTGATCTTTTTTCTCTTCATCTATTTACTTTATGTGTGTAGGTTTCTCGGTTATGATTAGACATGTAGAAAAAATTAATATTCTTAATAGGGTTTAGATCTATAAAAAATTTTAAACAAGTCTCATCTATTATTTGCTAATACGATAAATACATTATTGCATACTTGCAGAAATATGAAAGAGCTTTGGGTTAAGCCACCAATTTTAGGGAACCAGTTATTACTTTGTTAAAGGACTATTCATGGTTATTAGGACGCGATTAAAAATACCTTGGGATTAATGTTATTGATTCTCATGTCAAGTCCCTGAATATGCTATCCACTATTATAAGATCTGAGATGTTTTATTATGAAAATAATAACAAACTAGTTAGATGGTTCAAGTGTTATAATATTATTAGAAACAAGTAAGAAAATCATGATTAATGCTATTGCTTAAGTGATATTATCCTACTTTATAAGTATTTTTCTAATTTATGAAAATATTTGTAATCGTATGGAAAGATGATTGTAAAGGTTTGGTGGGCTCATAAAATTAAAGATAAGATCATTCTTTAAATGTCATTAAAAAAGCTACATATTATAGAAAACAATATGGCTTGGCAACTAGCTTTGCTCTCTAAAGTCATTTTTTTCAAGTCTTGTGTCTGATATGGTTTGAACTCATCATGTTACAACTTAGAATCATACTCTTGTAACAAATTTGTTCCTCCCTTTTGAAGCTGAACAGATTCTCCATATTCTTATCATCAATGATTAACTTCAGATAAGTTGAGCCGGACATGGACAAAAATAGCCATTATGTTGTGAAGTTTGGTCATTTATACTTCTAGAAGAATAAATGCTTTATATCCAGCTATATTGATTTCAATATATCATTGCTTAATTGAAATAATTTTGTCACAATAAATTCCTCAGGGATAAATTTGTTATGAATATTCTCATTCTTTGAGTCAGATTAGCCGAAATGGTATATATGTAGATATTATTTGTCCTATATATGGTAACAAGGAAGAGTTAGTTGATCGCTTGACTTTGTTATGTCTTTCAAGAAATAAACAGAGATATGCTAGAATGTTACTTTAATGTATTCACATCCAACCAAATATGAAAATTTGAAAGATTTATGAAAACAATGGACAAATCTATTTATTTCACTAAAAATATTGCACAAGTAGTTTGATTTTTTTTTTTTTTTGTAATAAGATAGGATTATCTGCTGATAAGTAGAGAAAAATGGTAGTCCAAAAAAGAGTTGTCTCAAATTTTACATCTATAACATTAACATCAATATTAATTTTTTTTTTTTTTTATCAAGTTCAAATTAGACTAGAAAGTGTTTAAAAAAATTAGATGAGGACAACGATCTTTGCGAAAAATTTTAAAATTAGATTTGATAGAGCTAGCGAAGACATTAATGATCATGTATAACTTAGAAGTAGTTAGTTATGGATAATGACAATTTAGTAGTCAAAAATTATATTTCAAGATTTTTTAATCGATTTTAATTATATCTTTTTTACATGTTTAATATAAATT